TAGAAAGTTGTAGAAACTTAATTCATAGATACTCAGTGAATCAATAAAAGGGAGGGATACCTGAAGTATTATATTGAAAACAAACAAACAAACAAAAAACCCAACAATTGCATTCATTTATCTATTCAGTTTAAGGGGTGACCTGGCTCTTTTATGCCCATCCTTGGGGCCTGTGTTTGAGAAGAAACTCTGAAATAGCTAGCAAGGGAGATGATGAGGCTAATCATTCTATTCTCTAGCATCATGTATGGACTGGCTTGCAGTACAATACAGACAGTGAAATCCGGTCTAAGGCTCCAGTGAGAGAAGTTTCCTATTTACCTTGAAATGCTGTCCTTAGAGTCAACCTAACTGGATCTAGTTTCTTATTTTATGATATACTTCTCAAATTTTGCCTCAAGACCACTGCTGCATTTGCCTCAGAGCATATTTTCCTTCAAGAAATGGGCCAGGACTCTTGTTGCTTCTAGTATTTTGTATGGTTTTCCCCATACCTGCCTAATAATAAACTTGTGTGTGCACCAAGGACCGGAACCCTGGCCACCTGGCAAGTTATGATTTGGAAATCAGATCTGTCAACTTCTCTTCCTCTGACATTGGACCTACCCAGAATAACTAAATAATTGGCATGGGCCAGTTTATAAACAAGTCTGTCTCTCCTTGTCTCTTGTCATCTTCCATATTTTTCTTGAATTGCTCATCTCTGTTTGGTACTATTCTTTACAGTCCAGTGCAAGTGCTCATAATTGAAGGTCCTCTTGATTCTTCTGTCTCTACAGGATTTCTATTCTGAACCCTTACATTACTTAGAGCTAAATGCATACAACCTAGTACACAGTTCCATGGTCAAAGGGTGGTTTGCTCTTTTACTCCCTTAAATGTATACTTTTCTAATGTAAACTTGAAAAGTAAAAGCCAGGCTGTGCATTTCTTGATGTAGAGATGTGGTCTACTTTCCTTGGAGACTCTTTATACCTGGCTCAGTTAATGCTTGGCAGCTAATCAACTGGCTTAGCCTCCATACATTTGGAGTGTATACATAGTAAGTAGAGGCCAGCTGAAGGATGCTGAATTCCAGGCAGTGGATTTAGATGTGCTGGTGAGGATACTGGGAGCCATCATAGACACTTATTGTTACATTTCCGTGTGAAATATGGGGCCAAAGGAACAGTCCCAGAACATCTGTCTAGGGCTGGAGGCCAGCACATATCCTCCAGATGTTACTCGGCAGTCTATGAATGTACTCTTCCCGCTCTGTTGGCCAGAAGGTAACAGAGGGAAGGAGGCAAGATCCAGAGGGAAAGCTGGTGAAATAAAAGAGACATTATAAGGCACACCTTTGGAGAGTAGTCAATTTATAGGTTCTGAATATTGAGCTATAAATATCAGCATCTTGGAATCTCAGAGTGAGAAGGGGCCCTTGGAGATTATCTGGCCCAGCCTCCTGCCCAGCGCAGGATTATTAACCATGACAGGCTGATGTTAATAAGGGTTCCTGCTGCTTGCCCTGGAAAACTCCTTTCTTCCAGCTCACTCCCTCACCTTTTATATTCTGGTAGGCTACTGCCCAGAGGATATTTTCCCAGTTCAAATATCTTTTTGTTTCCTTTGGATTCACTTCTTTGAAATTTGTCTTCCTTACAAAAAAGGTAATACAAAAGTGTTCTGTCCAGGTGGTGTATGTTTATCTCCTTTGCTGTCCCCCACTTTTCTAATTAATTGGTGCATTTTCAAAGTGAATGCTGGCAGACACTTGCTCCTTTAGGGTCTCTTTACCTCTGCCAAAAACCAGCCATGTTAAAAACCTATTTTATGACTAGGTTTTCCAAAGTTACAACCTCCCTCATTCCAACCAGCTTGGCAAGAAGGAAGCCAAAACACAGATTAAGCCATTTTCTCCTCATTATCGCCCTATTAAGCTTGCAGAGATGCTTTGAAAGCTCAGAGCCTCATCTACCTGCCTGCTCTGGCTTGGGACACAGCAAGGGCTCAGCACCTTTCTCAGAGAGGAGCTGTTTATCCGGTGAGTGACAGGAAGGCTCCTCCTCTCCTGGAGATGAAAGGAAATCCCACATGTAAAGCCCAGCAGAGCCTTGGCTACTCAGAACCCTGGGAAAGAATCATCTGGCAAGCCAAGTTCTCCAGGTAGCTGAGGCTATCTTCTTTGGGCTCCAAGTTCAAAATGATTCTAGTTAGCTTGGAAGAAGTATCTGCATTTCCATGTCTTTTAAAATAGAGAACACTCTTCACCAGTTGGCCTTTTCTTGATTATGGGGGCATTTATTTATTTTTTTACTGATGGCAACTCTATGGACTTAAATGAATAACAGGAAGCATGCAAAACTGAGCGTCACATCCGGAGAGTGTGAAATACTTTGTATATTTCTTTTTTGAATGTAGAAGAGTTTGTCTACTGTCTCTTCTCTGGCCTCTTTTTTTTTTTTTTTTTTTTTTTTTTTTTTTTTTTTTTTTTTTTTTTTTTTGGTTTTTCGAGACAGGGTTTCTCTGTGTAGCTTTGCGCCTTTCCTGGAGCTCACTTGGTAGCCCAGGCTGGCCTCGAACTCACAGAGATCCACCTGACTCTGCCTCCCGAGTGCTGGGATTAAAGGCGTGCGCCACCACCGCCCGGCCTCTGGCCTCTTATATGGCCCTGACTTTATCTCCAATGTGGTGTCACTTAAAAGGACATTTTATTTATACATACAACTTAGGAAAATCTCAAAAATAACTATGGTAAGATAAACTAGGAAAAAGAAGGAATAAGAAAGAATAGGAGGGGGAAAGAAAGGAAAGAAGGAACATACTGTGTGGTTCTTTTTACATCAACTCTGCTCTTGAGAGTTCCAAATCATCTACATGGCAGAAAGCACATAGATAAATTATCTGCAGAGCAGGTAGGTGGGCAAGAATGAGAGAGTGGGAAAGAGAGGTTACGGAAGGGTAACTTTGGAAAGAGGTAAATACATTCAATGTTTTGATTGTAGTGAGGGTCAGAGGGATTAGCGTATTTGCCAAAACTTACATGTCATATTTTAAATAACCGAATTTTTCTCTAAAAATATTTTTTTGTTTGTCATACTGAGGATTGAACCTAGAGCTTTACACATGCCAGGAAATTTCTCTATGCTATGTCTAGAGTCATTTAAAAATTTTTAATTTTGAAAGAGAGTCTCACTAAGTTCCCCAGGTTGGACTTGAACTTACAATTCTTCTGTCTCAGTTTCCTGAATAGCTAGGATTACAGGGTTTTGGCACCATGCCCAGCTTTATTTTATATTAATTATACCTCTAGAAACCTACCTAAATACTTACAGATCTACATTGTAAGTCACATTTATTGGCTTAGACTTTGGTGGAAGTCCTTGTACACAAAGTCAGAAGGTAAACCCCTAGTGGGAGGAGATGTGGACTGGGGTTGGCAGAACCAGGCCCCTTCACACAGACCCTTCAGTTGGCAGTGGGATTGTGGTCACAGCTCTATTGGTGGGTGGGTAGAGCTTCAGGTCGGGAAAGTGAGTTATAGTCACTGAGGGCAAACTCTGTCATCAGCATGGAGAGGGGTTGACTACTTTTCATTTGTTGATCTGGGTTTTTTTTTTCATCATTTCTGTATAAAAGAAAAGAAAGAGCAAGACAAAAAACTTCTAAATACGAAGAGTCATCTAATCCAGGCAAACAAAAGGTGCTTCTTAAAGTGCTGACCTAATGATCAAGAGAGACTCGAGGAAGGAGATATACTCAGTGATATGATAACTGAAGTTCATGGACCTTATTTCCTGTTCTCATGCTTCAGATGGAATTGTGGGAATATAGAAGCTGCTACTAACGCGTCTGAGGTTACCAGGAGTTAAAGAGACAAGAGTAAGCTGTGGAACAGTGTTCACAGACGCAGGACAAGTCACTGCTGCATCCCACTTTCCAGGTCTTTCCTTTGCCACCAGCAATATTAACTGGTGTCTTCAACGGCACCAACAGAAGAGAAATGAATAATTCTCGCTGCATAGGAAAAACAAAATGCAGTGGTTCTGTGGATTGCTAATACATGACTTACGATAGAAGACAATAACTGAGATTCTGTTTTTATATGAGATCTGCTGTTGTGTCAGTGATGACATCCAAGCCCCAGAACAAACAACTCACTGGTGACCACATCTCACACAGAAAATCAAGGCAGGCTTCAAGGAATAGGATGTCTTGTTAACTAGAAAGAGTCTCTTTACCTTAAATTATGAGCATTTGTAAGATGATACTCGTATTAGAACCCCTTAGGTATCTTTGCAGTGTATTGCTTATCACTAAGTACGATAAACTATATATACTTCTCAGTTTATGATCAGGCTCAGTCAATCTCACAGACACTTTATTATGAGAAACTACTATTACAAGTCTTATCATTAATAACCATGGGTGTTGAGTAGTTTGAAGATGTGGCTCAGTACCTGGTACACAATAAACATTTACTAAATTAATGAATGGAATCAAGACCCTATTGACAAGAGTATGCACATGTTACTCTGCTATTCCCTTTTGATGAGGTGTGTTAAGTGCTGTTATTTTATGGGTTGCATGAGCTCCTTTACATGTTGGCAAGAATTTATGCCCTTCAAGCATCTCACTATGGCTAGTGCAGGATCACATTCCCTGAACCTTTAATGAAGATACATAGATGAAGCAAATGTAATTTACTGACTCCACACTTTTTCTCAAGACAAGTTTTAGATCATATTATCTTTGTTATTTCCTATATGTGCTATAAGATATAAGTTACATTGTCATTATGAAATAAATGGCACTACAGCAATCTTTGGATTTCAAGGAAATGCCTATAAAATGCCTTCTAGTCCCTTCTTGCAGTAGGCCCTGTTACTGGACTGTCTCCTTCCTACTGTCCTGAGACCAACGGACAGCCTTGGAGACAGTCACTGACTCTGTTGCATTATGTAGTCACCAACTATAATATTTTTGCCTCTATATCTAATAAAAATATCTCTTCATTTCAGACCACGCTGTGTGATCCTCCAAGAAGGCAAATAATTTCTTCTGTCAATGGCTATGATTCCCCGGAAGATATTGATGCATTTGGGAGTATAATTTGGCAGAGGAAGGAGATAACCTGAAACCACAGGCTGCCCTAAACACTCTATTATGAACAAAGAGAAAACAGCTGAATTGAGTTGGAGGAAAGCCTTGCTGAATGATAAATTGCCAGACCCTTCGAGGCTCAGGAGGTTTCAGCCCATTCACCCCAGCTGCATTTTTATGAATACTTGAGGAAAGAACTTTGAAACTGAAAGACTCTGACTCATGGTTTGACTGTCTGCATTGGTTCCCAAAGGTGGCCTGAGTCTTAAGAATCACAGCTGGGAAATTTGCTGTGTGCAGATCCCTAGGCCTGGGCCCTTTATGATGGTCTGCTGATCCTCATGCAAAATTGAATCATCCAAAAACACTGCCAATACTTGTGTTCCAACTTAAGCTATGCATTTAATTTAAGAGTCATGATTCTAGAAATTTCTCTTCTGACCAAGGAAGGCTATTGTGAATGCAAGAGAAAGCTTTGAGTCCACCTTGCAAGGCTATGTGTCCTTTTAAGTTGTTTGTTCTTTGAGTTTGGGTTCTAGGGGCATTTGTCTTGTTTTCTTCTTTTCACCATCTTGGAAGTCTCTTGAGAGAGACATTTCTACTCACCCCTCCAGGTCCTTGGTCATTAGTGAGCATGTACACCATGTTTAAAAGACAGAATCAATGGCCAAAGACAAATCTAGCAGATGAAAAACAGATAAATCTACCATAGCAATTGATTTGAATGTTATAGAAGCCCTTAACTTTAAAGGAAACTTTTCAGCAGATGGGGAGAAGGTGCAGTGATGTCAAAAGTAGCGGAATTCATCCTCTACAGAGATTTAAGCCCTTCACATGCACAAGGCTGGCTGCCTATGCCAGCTGAACACTCATGGGCATAGCTGATGCTTCTTCTTAATCTCTTCTACTATCTGCTGTTTGGGTTCAAACTTGACCTGAGCCCTAATGACTGGAAGCCATCACTTCAAATTTGCAGATAAATGATATTAATGTGTTTAATACATTCCAGAAAAACAAAAATAATAAAATATTTGTGGTTTTGATGGAGGAAAACAGATGAAACATGAATGTTACTGTGCTGAGGATTCTTCAAGGTGAATGGCTTCTGTGGAGATATCTTACCTTATTTTTGTGTATATAGAAAATGGCAAAGAATGAAACACTGTAGAGGGAAAAAAAAGACACTGAATTACTTCCTCACTACTCCTAGACACCAAACAAGCTTTCTGCTGCTTGCTAGAATTTTCTGTGCTTTAAAAAATGATTTTGAAGATAACATTAACAATAGCTTCAAAAAATGCCTATAAATAAATCTAACTAAGCAGAATTAATAGTGTGAAAGTGGCTACATTATTGAAAGTCATCTACAGATTCAATCTAATCCCCATCAAATTCCAGTAATGTTCTTCACAGAACTAGAAAAATAATCCTAAAATTCATATTGAAAAACAAAAGCTCCCAAAAGCTAAAGTGATCCTTACCAAATAGAGGAGAAATGCTGTTAAGTATCACTATGCCTTATTCTAAATTATACACAGAGCTGTTGTAACAAAAACAGCATGATGGCACAAAATGGAATTTAGACCAATGGAATAGAATAGAGGACCCATACAAAAATTTAAGTAGCTAAAGTGACCTGAGTTTGACAAAGTTGTCAAAAACACACATTGGAGAAAAGGCAGACACTTTAACTAAGAGTGCTGGGAGAACTGGATGTCTACATGGAGAAGAATACTAGATCCATATCTCTCACCTTGCGAAGTCCTTAAGTGGAAGATACAAAACTCTGATATTGTTAGAATAAAAGACAAACAAACAAACAAACAAACAATACTTTCCAAGCTATAAGCTAAAGTGAGGACGTTCTGAACAGGTCTCTAGGCTCCCACAAAATGGCCAAGAAACTGATAAGCACAAATGAGACCTCATGAAATAAAAAAGTTTCTGTACAGAAAAGGAAGCAGTCAGCTGAGTGAAGAGAACCTACAAAATGGGATAGAATTTTGGCTTACTCTCAGGAGTATATGCTGTGGATGTGGGGGGCACCATTTCATGAGCTGGACCTTGGACCAAGTGAGAAAGGGAGAGACAGCTGAACACTAGCATGAATGTATTAGTTCACTGTTTTCTGCTCTTGCTATGGAAGTAATGTGACTGTTTCAAGTTACTGCTACCTAGACTTGCCCACAATGATGGCCTGGTGTTATGAGCCAAATAAATATATTCTCTCTAAAGTTGATTTCAATAAGAATGAAAATAAGACATTAAGTGTCAGAGAACTGCAAATTAAAATTATATTGAGAGTCCTTTTTACCACAGGCAGAATGAGAATGGTCCTATCAATAGTCAGTTGAGGAGGGAGGATGGACTCATGGGTCCCTACCTTTGCCACTGAACTATGAGTAGACCCTGAGAAAGGGGGAGTCACTGTCTTTAGTGGCATCCCTCTCCTAAGCCTACCATGCTCCAGTGATAAGCCCCAAACCTACAGTCATACAGATGGCCCTGATTCATCTTGGTGGATTCCTAAATAAAAGGAATAGATAGGAATGAAAATAAGGATTTGTGGAGACATAAGAGAGTATACAGGTTGGTAGGGAGGCAGAGTGTGAGAGTGGTCAGTATGCATGGTATACATATGAGAAATTATTTGAGAGAGAGAGAGAGAGAGAGAGAGAGAGAGAGAGAGAGAGAGAGAGAGAGAGAGAAAGCCAACTGCTATCATTAATGTGGACAGAAGAGGCCCTTGTACACTGATGGTGAGAATATAAACTAGTGCAGCCACCACGGAAGTTAGTATGGCAGTTTCTCAGACAATAAAAAATTATATCTCCCATGTGATCTAGCTATAACTTTCCTGGGTATTTATCCAATGAACTCTAAGTCAGTGTACTATAGAGCTACTTGTACATTAATGTTTGTTGCAGGACTCTTCACAACAGCTGAAGTATTAAACCAACAGACATGTCTCACAACAGAGGAATGGGTATAAAATACGGTGTATACACAAAATGGATTTGTTTCAACCATGAAGGAGAAATCAAGTTGCTTGCATGAAAAGGATGCAACTGTGGATAATCCTCTCTGAAGTTGGTCAAGAGAGTCTCAGAAAGAATGATGCTATGCTTTTTATCGCTTCTTGCTCCTAGAGTTTCTAGAGCTGCATAAAGTCATGTCTGCATTTATGAGGGGAAAGTAGAAATGAAACTGTCCAGGGGAACAAAGGGGGGAAACGGGAATGGAGAAGCGTGGCAGGGGAGGGAAAGCAGGGGTGATGGAGGGCCAATGTACTTAACACACAATAGACACCTGTATGAGTACTTAAAAAATAGTTTCTTCAAGAAAACATAAAGGTGACTTGAAAAACTATGAACTCTGAGTTATCACTAAAGATAGTAAAGACCAGTGATGAGAAGAAAATTAATTTGGCTCCTTCTTTTACCCGATTCAGTCTGACTGTTCAGTTAACGAGTTATGCTTGTTAGAAAATTTACCTACTTTGCCAAGTGACAAAGTTTTATCATCCAGATTTAATGGGATTTGGGATACAGAAATATTTACAAGTAATTTTACTTATCCGTCTTAACTACTTTCCTACTGCTGTGATAAAACACCATGACCAAAAGCAACTTGTGGAGGAAAGGGTTTATTTCATCTTACAGCTTGTAGTCCATCATCAAGGGACATCAAAGGGACTCAAGCATGGCAGGGACTAATGATGAGGCCATGGAGGAGTGCTGTTTACTGGCTTGCTCTCCATGCTCAGTCTGCTTTCTTATACTATCCTGGATCACCAGCCCTGGGGTGGTCCCACCCACAGTGATCTGGCCCTCCCACATCACTCATCAATCAAGAAAATGCACCACTGGCCTGCCCACAGGCCAATCTGGTAGGGAATTTTTCTCAACTGAAGTTCTCTCTTCTCAAATGACTCTAGCCTGTGTCAAGTTGACATAAAACTAGCCAACATATTATGCATTTCCTCAAGTTCCCTGAGATTTATGATATGTCATAATTCTTTTTGACCATACACTTCTTACAATGCATGGAACACATGTTGGTGGGTTTGTGGTGTGTGTAATTGTGTCCTCATGGCAGTGACAGTAGTTCAGCAAGGCAGAGATTAAGCTAAATGTTTAATCTTCAGAAACAGAGACTTGGGGTTAGCTTTTCTATCAAGCAAGGGGCAATGATAGACTTCACCCAGGATCTTATCAAAGTCAATTCTCTTTCTTCAGCACGAGAAGTTGGCACTAGGAAGACTTTTAGAGTGGGAAGGTGAGTGATGATTGGGGTTGTTGCTGGGATAGTAAAGACTTGAAAATCTGAGTGAAAAATTTGAAAAGGGTCATTCATGTAGGCTGTGCTATGTTTCTGTATCCTGCTTAGGGACATCTTACCTTATTTATAGCAGCCCACCCCCATACTATTCAATGGCTGGGACCATGGCTAAAATTTGAGCACAATCCTTACATAGAACCTGGAAAACATGCTCCACCATCTCTCATACATACACAGACGTGTTTCCCTACCCTCTAGCCAGAAGATCACATGCTTTAAACCTCAAGACTAGTATTACATCACTACTACACATAATCTTTTGCCTGTGACCAATTGCATAATTCCAAGTCCAGGGGATAAGACTTGGCCATACGGTTAAATCCAAAACTGAATGCCATCTTGATGTAACACAAGCCCTCAGAGTCATTACCCCGTACTTGCTTCCTGGCAGCACTGAACAAACTGGTACCAGCCCCATGTGTTTCATGACCTCAGTTCATACACAAGGACCCCATCAACTGAGCTGCTCTGACTCACATTTGGTTCGTGAAATCCAAAGTGACAATTCTTTGAACCTCAGTTTCCTCATTTGGCATGAGGAAACATCTCATTAGAATGAGATCATCTCTACTCTTTGCAGAATTTTTTTAAAGATTAAAGAACATTCCATATGGTTGTTGGTCTACTTTGCCTCTCTGTTGCTGTGATAAAACACTGACCAAAAACAACTTGGGGGAGGAAGATGTTTTATTTGGCTCACAGGCTACAGTCCATCATCAAGGAAGCCAAGACAGGAAGCAGACACCATAGAGGAACACTGCTTGTTGGTTTACTCTACCTGGGATGCTCAGTCATCTTTCTTACATAGCCAAGGCTCACCTGCCTAGAGATGGCACTGCCCGTAGTGGGACAGGCCCTCCTAAAACAATTATCAATTAAGAAAATGCCTCACAGGCATAGCCACAGACCAAAAGGATCTCTTCAGTTCTTCAGTTGAGGTTTCTTCCCAGGTGACTCTAGGATTGTGTCAGGTTGGCAGCTGAAGCTGTTATCCTATATAAGTCACCTGTCACTCTATCCAGCTCATAGTATAACTTTAATAAATAATGAGCATTGTAATAATGGTAGTACAAACATGTAATGTATGTTACCATAATCAGAAACTCCGATGTCTTGAGATCTGAAATGACTATTCTATAGTTGAATTTGCTTTTAATAACAGCAGCATAAAAATTTAATCAGCTAAAGAATATTGCATGTCCTATTCTATGTTTTTTTCCTCCTAAATAAACATTTATTGTTAAGTACTGTGAGAGTTACGTAGAAGAAAGAGGAAGATCTCATTCTATACCTGCAGGACAATAGCCTCTCACAGTGAGCACAAGATATATATGTATTAAACTAGTGGACATACATCTTAATCTGGGAGAAGTCAAACGCAATAATTTGAAAACAATTCAAGACCCTCTCTTGCCAGTTGTATGAAATTTGGCAGTCCCTAGAGGCTGTCCCTGTTGTCAGTCTCCAGCTCTGGCATCCAGAGCCCAAGCATTCTTAGTGGAAGCATCACTGGGATGCAGCCCATTCCATCAGCGGAGGGAACAGTAATACATAAACGGACGATTATGTGAAAATTGGTGAGGGAGAGAGGGCACATGACAGAGGCTTGGGTGCATCAGCTGAAGCTCAGACCCACTCACCGTTTCCCAGGGACCCCAAGTTAAGTCTCTTTGAGATAAGCTTCCTCACCCATCTTGCAACATTTATGATTGTATGGCCATTTTTTTTTTTTTGGTTCATCACAAGCTGCTTCATAACAAAATAAATGCCACCTCGCCAAAGGAAACGAGACATTGGCAATCCACATGCCTTCCCAGACCTTGTCCAGGAGCCATCCCAGTAACAACATAAACAAATAGATCACCAGCCCAGCTCCTCTCCCCTCGTTTGCCTCCTTTTCCTTTCACTCTGAATGCTCCAGCAGAGTGCAGAGGATTTCACAGTTCCTCCAGCTCTGGAAAAATCATTAAGCCCTTCTGCGGGTCGACTTTGGACACATCTGGAACAAATTATCTCCACTTTTGGAATCTGAATAAAGAAATGTAAGCCTCACTGGAGAAATGTGAAATCTAGGGTGGGATTTGCAAAATGGTTTAAGGTTTGCGCATGTACTTTTTTTGAGTTTGTTTGGGTTTGGAACATATTAGAAAAAATAATAAGGCTTGCCATGTGCTTTTCATAATTCCTTTGCTTTCCATAAAAATCATTTGGCCCCTCCCCCAATTTTCCACCAATTCTTAGTAGCTCTCATCCGTAGTGTTAAGTGTTCTTCTTATGTAACATGAAATCCATGAGTTAGGGAGGTTTTTTTTTTTTTTTTTTTGGATTTGATTAAAAATCTCAGCCCAATCACAGATTCAATGCGTTTGTCACGCTTCCAACCTCATGATGCCCAAGTAACTGTTCAGAAACTGGACGTGGTCCCTGAAGGAGGTACTGAGACTTTACAAATCTCAATGCCCAGGTCCCTTGTCTTCGCTCAAGAGCAGCTGCAGCAGGCCATAACCCCAGGGCAGCTCAAGCTGAGCTTGTTGCTTTCATCCCTGTTGCCATTCACGGCTTCCTCCATCCCTCTTGCCTCTGGCCCTGTGGTTGATGTTTAGCAACAGAGGGGTGGGGGGGCCTTGCCCAGGCTGGGAGATGACATAGACATCTCACAGAGGCCACAAACTGCTGCCCCTAGGCTGCTCTTCCTGGGGTCTCCGTGGCCACACTCCCCTCCTGCTATGCAGACACCAACACCATCAGAAAGAAAGACAGATGCTTCCAAAGAGGAATCAGGAATTAAGAACGAGCCAGCCTTGCCTGGGAAAAACAAAGAGTAAGGATAGGAAACAAAGAGTTGGACAGCCTTTGAATCAGAAAAAGAGAAATCTGATGGAGCTACACCTTTTTACTTTTTTTCCCCATTGGCAAGACAGTTTCAGTGACCACAGCTGTCCAACTTCGATATTATTTTCAGCCATGCCTATGTAAACATGGTGTCTGTCCAGTCATGTCCTGGTTTTAGTTCTGAAATCTATGGCCCCTCTAATATTCCCATAGTTCCTGAAGCCTCATCCAGAGGTTTCCTGTAAATTCATTCATCCCCATTATTTCCTCAGTCTGTACCACAATGTCACATACAAACAGTGACAAGACAGAAGTGCCTGGGCTGTGACATAGACAAATGCCAATAAACCTCATGTCAGATACAAAAGGACAGACATTGTATGATTGTACTTATTTCATGTATATAAAAGAGCCAAATTCATAGAAGCAGAAAGTATAATAGAGTTTTCCAGTGGGCAGCAGAGAGAGAATGGGAGTTATTCTCTGACACTGGATTTCTACTTGGTAAAATTGTTATTTATTATGCCGCACAATGTTATTCATTAAGCGGCGCTGTTTACCATATGAGAAAAGCCACGAGGTACAACAAAACCCACTATAAGAGTTTATTAAGGGGAGGAAATAGAAGGGGATGCTTAGGCCTATGAAAAGATCGTGCAGGAAGAGAAGGAGGAATATGTGGAACCTGCTTTTATAGATTCCCCTGGACATGCACTTAAGGGCTTACATTGCTATGCCACGCATTTGCATAGGTTACATGATCATGCTGTGAGCAAGTTACATGATCATGCAGTGCACAGATTACATGGGATATAAGGCCTTGGGGTGACTAAGCATCATGCCAGTGCATGTGCAGTCATTGGGGGAGTGGCTAGGAATTCTAATAAAAAAAAAATTCTGGAGGCAGGTATTGGTGGTGGTTGTACGATATCATGAATGCATGCATTTATTGCCACTGATTTATAGCTTTAAAATAGTTAAATTTTGTTATGTATATTTTACCACAATAAAAAAATCTGGGCTGTTTTTCAGATCTAATTAAATAGAAAATGAAAGCCAAGTGGACATTCTTTGGAAATAGAGAAATACATTAATCACATTAAGGCTGCCACCAAGTAGGTCAAATAGCTTCTAATAGAAAACTGTGGTGTTAGAGTCACCCTCAAATCAAGGATATGTTAGATAGAATTTGTTCTATTAAGAAAACAAATACTCAGCTTTGTTGTGGTGGCACACACCTTTAATCCCAGCACAAGGGGGGCAGAGGCAGGCAGAACTCTGAGTTCGAGGCCAGCCTGGTCTACAGAGTGAGTTCCAAGACAGCCCAGGGCTGTTTCACAGAGGAACCCTGTCTCGAAAAACCAAGAAGAAGAAGAAGAGAAGGAGGAGGGAGAGGAGGAGGAGGAGGAGGAGGAAGAAATTCGAAATGCTACATGCTCTCTCCTAGAGATTGAAATCCACCACGTCCTTTAGACACGGGCACCACTGGATCAAAAGAGGTAAGTATATGTTGAGGGCCGAGGAAGGGGGAGACTGAGCTCTACTGTTCCAAGCACTGACTGGCTCCTGGAAAAAATGCCAGGGCTCCACGGTCCTGTTTCTAGCATCATTCTTATGCAAGATCTTCCACAGAAATCCAAACTGGAAAGTTTGTTCAGATATGAGATCTTCATGAGGCTTCCCACACTGTGGTCAGGAACTGCTAGTAGGAAGTTTCTGGAACCTGTCCTGTGCCTGCTGATCTAATACACACTCAGAATAGATGTTCCTGGGAAAAAGACTTTGCTTTTGTTTCTCAATAGAGTTTGAGTTCCAGGTACCTATGAACAGGCTTCCATAAAACAAAAGGCCTACTTTCTCACGGGTGGCTCTTCTCATTAATGCAATAGGACTCCATGAAGAACATTGGCTCTGAATAATTAGACAATACCTCCTCCTTTCTGTAAACATGAAAGGATCAGAAGAATTATTGGAATTCTCAAAGAGGCAGAAGAGTAATGGAAGTAATACATTTTCTTTTTTTTCTCCACTATGACTCATTTGTAGCTCAGAGTTCTTTTTCTTCTTCCTCAGAATCTGCATATTTATATATATATATATATATATTTGAGGTTATTGATATGAGTATTAGGGGAATACTCATTTGGTTTAGGAGAGAATCAAGAGGGTAATCTCTGGGCTTGGTGACACAGGTATGTAACCTTAGTTGCTTGGGATGCAGGAGATCAGTCCATCAATAGCTATAGAGAAAGCTGAAGGCTACCCAAGGAAAATTAGTTGAGACCTTATCTCAAAATCACACAGTAGTAAGAGGGCAGGGGACAGAGTGCGGTGATAGAGTGATGGTTTAGGTTTAATGTCAACCTGCTACAAATTAGAATGACTTGAGTAGGGAGCCTCAACTAAAGATCAGTCCTGGCTGCCCTCACTGATGCAGAAAGACTCACCCCAAATGTGGGCGGCATCTTCTGGGAGCATCCCAGATAAAAATGGCCGAGCAGGAGGTTGGTTCATGCCCCACTTCTTGGCCTCCCTCTTGCTGGTGAGTCTTTTTGCCCTGTTGTTGCTACTGCTGATTCCCATGCTGATATTACAACCAGTGTTTCCAGGCTTCCATCACTGAGTGAGGACCAGTGGCTCCCTGGGAATCTGCAGGGGTATTTTTGTTTTGTTTTTTCCTGCAGGTTTTTAGTGCAAATTGGGATTGCTAAGGCACACAGCCTCATGAACTGAGCTACTACTGGGTTCTCAGTCTCTCCGGTATAAGATAGACAGCTGTTTTTATATTTCAATGTAAGCATACATATTTAAAATCAGTTCTGTTCCTCTAGAGAACCCTGACTAAACAGGGCATATGTTTAGCATGTACAAGGCCATAGTTTCAGTCCTAGTACCCCAAACAAACAACAAAAGGAGGTGTCTACAAGAGAAATAGGAGCGTCACTGTTGATGAGCATCTGAACCAAATCTCAAGACTGGAAGAAGCCTATATTTGAGTGGAAATGTCCAGAGCAGATGACGGACATCTGGAGTTTTTTTTTCCTATTAGGCATATTTTGGACAGAGCACTTCTCATTATTATCTTTCCTTCTGGCTAAAAGGAACTAAGATATGGATTAAAATCCATGGGACAATCTTGATAGTTCCTTCTTCTATTCAGAAACAAATGTCTGGTAAGTGTAAAAGAAGACCCCTACACATCAGGAGGCTTGGGACCTGACTGGCCTAGTCATTGCACACAGCTCTGGTCAATCCCATCAGGTTTAAATGGCAGATTCAACCCAGAACAGTGCAGATATCTATTGAATTACCTTCAGCATTTTCTAAAAATATGTTTGAGCCATGTTCGAAGCGCTAGTTACTTAAGGTCTTGTATACACATGATGAGTTAGAAAGTGTAGTAAGAACTTAGATGGTGGCTGGGCTGCTAGGTTTCAAAACTGGTTGTCTTGATAAGGCCATGCACATCCCTGCTCAGCCCTTCTGCACCAGAATTGCAGCTTAGGTGACTTTCAGTCCTACTGTTTCAAAGCTCTTATAAAAAGCAGAGACTAAAACACTGATTTGAATCACTGGTTTTTCTGAAACTTTAACATGTAAGGATGTTTTCAATAAAAGTCATGGTGTTTATAGATGATTATTTAATAAATCCCTCAGTATTATTTGACTTTGACTGCCTTGTGGAAAAAAACAAACAAACAAACAACAAGAACAAAAACCTCAGAGACAAAATACTGACCCTGACAATAAAACATGGCTGTTACAGGATCAAATGAGAAAATAACGTATGTGCATGTCGTAGAATAGATTGTTATATGAATGCAAGCAATTATCTGGTCTCCCTTAACACTGTGTGTCATCCATTTGGTTCATTAAATATTCACTAAGCTTTTCTAGATCAGAAAATGCGATGCAAGGGTACAGCATAGGGTGTACACTTGACACTTTCACTTGCAATTCTCCTGGAATGAGTATATACGAGCCTAATGAAACCCTTGCTTGTTTCATTATATGAATGCTTTTAAGTCATAAGCGAACAGTATCCATGTACCCATTTCAAACAGAGGGAAGCCAGGGTACATCTTAAATGTACCCATTTTCCTAGCTCAGAATCTTTGCATCACAAAAATCACTTCCCAAAGAAGTATGTGCTGCTGGTAACTCCCCTCCCCCGCAAAGGCTAAGGTCCATGCTATGCCTTGGTTACTAGCTTGACATGGGGTAGACTTGTTAGTGTGCTGCAAAGAACCCCGGGGAGTGGGGGAGGGATATCTTTACCTAGGATCCTTCATTTCCACTGAGCTAATGAGAGTGCTGTCACCTAAATTTTCATTGTTTCAAGAGCAAGTGGAGGCTGACAATTTCCTTTCAAGCTTGAATGATGAAGAGAAAACATCCCACGGCCTCATCTGGCTGGCTTGCTGCGAGGTAATGAGCCCTGTGCAGCACCCATCTCTGCTAGACTGAGATGACCTTATGTCTGGTAATCCATCAGGGAGGAGCGGAAAACACACGGCAGGTCCTGCCAACAATTCCCCCAGGACACGCTGAGTGTGCCAAACAGTTTAGTAAATAGATCTCAAGTTACCATGTTGAAACATATTCCAACACATTGCAACAGAGAACGTCTCAATCTAAAGGTCACACTTCAGTTTGTAAAGATGCTGTGTGAAGCGGTTTGGTGGCGGCGGCGGCGGCTGGAAGAGGAATGTCATGGAGGTGAGGATCAGGAGAGGAAATATTCGTAGCATTTCAAAACAAATTTCACAAACTTCCCTGGCTAATCTCTATGATTTTCAGTCCAGACAGGGAATTTCGTTTTCTGCCAGACTTTGTTCCAAGATTTGCTGGAATTTCTTGGGATAGGCTAGCAGCCCTCAGGGTCAGAGAGCTGGTTGGTGTCCTGTATGAGCTGGCAGGGTGTGACATGATGAGGTGAGGCCAGGATGGAGTGAAAAGATTCCAACTTTCCTAGTTTCCCATTTTGGTCACTTTTAGAGTCCTTAGGGAAGGAATAAAGAATGAAGGACTTAGGAATGCAATTCTGGCTTAAAATAATTGTTGGAGACTTGGTGCAGAGAAGATCGAAAAGACTGGAAAATGTTGGATCTTGATTTTGCACCAAGGAATCTGTCTTTTTCTGGGCTGTGGCTTGAAAAAAATTTCTGGAGAAGGGGCATCCTGTATCCAGCATAATGGGTCCCTTGCTGCAATCCTTAAAAATGTCCTATTTGGATCTACTGGACACTTGCCAGGCAGCTCAAATGCTTGTAGCAATGTCCAGTTTGGGAAGGATGCCTACCTCTGCAAGAGGAGTATACCAGCTAAGCCACTAAATACTAAGTCTTTTGGGCCTTCAAACTGCACTGTGCTTACATTTTCTCATTTGCCCTTTTGCCATTAAACTTGAAATTTCCCTTGCAAGCAGTTTATAGAGAGCGCTTTGTACAACCCCCACCTCTGAATGAGCACCTGGATGAAAGAAAAGTCCATTGCCTCTCAGTGTTTACTAGTGCCGAAGCTTCAGAGCCATGATGCATTTTGGGTGGCAGAAGAGCAGAGGGGTCAGGCTACACACTGGTGTTTAGAACTGGTCTTGGCAAACAAATCCTTTGACACAAGAACTTGAACTCATATGGGTAGCTGCATGAAAAGAAGCTGGATGCTCCAGTGCATTGTTAAGCCCCAGAGCACATCGATTCAATGTCATTAGGTGGAACATTACTAAGTTGATAATACTTGACTATTTAGATCCACAAAAATGAAAATTTTATAGGGTTTAAGCTAATAAAAAGCAGAATTTGAAAGAGCCACAACAGTCAAAGGAGAGAGAGAAAAAAATGGCTAGATTTAGGCTGCAGTGATTAAATCTCTATTCCTGCACCTCTTCTCTTTGCCCTAACCAAACTTATTAAATCTTTATGGGCAAGCATATTAAGAAGGAATATAGCAGCTGGCTGACATCAAAACCCTACAGAATGGTGTCTGACACAGGCGAGAGGCCTGAGGGGCCAGACTGGGATGGGATAAGGCACTGGGAGAGAGAGAGTAGACATCCTAGAAGACAAACGTTATATTGTCGATTATTTCACAATACCCAAGGTTATTGTTCCCATAGTCTCACACTGTCTGTGTCAGTTAGGACGCAGTAATGAACGTGCGAACATATTTATGAAACAAAACCCCAGGTTAGTTCCCAGCACAATTTGTCAATTCTATGAAAATAGCCCCGGGATGGCCACAAATCCTGAACCACACCTGTGAAAATCACTTCAAATTAAAATTCAATTAGGTGGTATTGTTGTTTGTTTGTAAGCAAGATACAGAGAAAACTATTTCATATTGGCATTCCTTTTTGTGGCCTGGTTTCCCGTGTCAAAACAACTATTAGAGAAGGTTTATATGATTTATAGTTCACAACTCATGCATGCAGAGCAACAGGTTAATACTGGATGATTTAAGATCCTTCTGATTCTAGGAGCCATGGGTTTTCTGATACAGTACAGAAATTTTAGAGTCATGAAACCAGGTTCTACACCAATTGTCTGTAGAGACAGCTGGGGCAATTTGAACTTAGGGCTTAGGAGAACTCTTGTCAAATATGATAGTCTAGATGTGTCATTACAATTCAACCCAAAATTCTTTGTGAGGCAACAAAACAAACAAACAAAGAAAACAAAACAAAAACAAAAAAAGAAGAAAACTCTCTAATTGCTAGTGGTGAAGAATGAGTATATAGGTCAGAAAGTGGCCTGATGTGTTATGAATCTATCTGACAGATCAAACTAATTGTAACATTTATAAAATTGATTGTGTTAATTTTGGTGTGATATTCCAGGCGTCAGCATGCTGTGGAGACCAAATCTTATCCTGGTATGTAGAGTCCATGCCATTAGTGACCTGTCTATGGACCTACCATTAGGAATGTTTCCTTGAATCTTCAGATAGCATTCACTATTATTCTTTTCTTTAAACTAAGGATGGGTATCATGAGTCAAAATTCTTCCTAAACCATCAAGACCTCCATGTTCTAGGCTCTAACCATTCTAGCCCAACAACATATATCCAAAATTATATGATTTACTCTACCCATGGATGTAATAGTGACGTTATCAACTAGGGCATTCTGAATAGCTTCTATCCATGGATGTAACAGTGATGTTCCCAACCAGGGCATTCTGAATAGCATCTATCCATGGATGTAATAGTGACGTTCCCAACCAGGGCATTCTGAACAGCATCTGGCTAGAATAAACAAAGTAAAAATATTTGTCATTTGTTCCGACTTTCAGCTCTCAAGAATAAGCCCTGGGGAGCACACCGCACTTCTGTTTTCTAGAATTAAAATCCTGCAAACTTGTAAGTATGTGCTCTGCAATCCAACACTTCACTGGTGGGTGAGAATAACTTTCTTTCATGCCCAGTCCCTGCACCTCTATGCCAGCACTCTATCCTCAACCAACACCAAAGCAAATCCCCGATAAAAGACTCCTCAGGGTGGCAATGACTCAGCCGATAGGGCATCACAGAGTCAGACACGTGGACTGCACCCACACATCCCCACCTTCCTACCCAGTGTGCCCCCCAGGAGACTCTCCAAATGTCCCTTTGCTCTTTCCAGAAGCGCTAAAAATAGCCCAGGGCTGCTCAGTACAGGTGCTGTTTGTGCAGACGTTCTCTTTGCATTTAGCCTGCCTGCCTCTGTGATTAGCACACTGCAGACACACAGCACCCCCCCCC